TCTTTCTTTCTTTCTTTCTTTCTTTCTTTCTTTCTTTCTTTCTTTCTCTTTCTTTCCTTCTTTCTTTCATGTTTATTTATTTATTCTGAGAGAGAGAGAGAGAGCAAGAGATCATGCAAGTGCTCTGGGGAGGGGCAGAGAGAAAGGGAGAGAGAGAGAATTCCAAGTAGGCTCCATGCTGTCAGCACAGAGCCCCACGCAGGGCTTGATCCCACAAACTGTGAGATCATGACCTGAGCCGAAACCAAGACTTGGGCGCTTAACCGAGTCACCCAGGCACCCCATAAGTGTTTTTCTGATCCTCTTCTCAAAAGAGTTATTAATCCATTTATTCAATAATATTTATGGCACTTACTATGCCAGACACTGTTTTAGGTGCAGAAATAACAGTGAAAAAGCATTCTTTTTTTTTAAGTTTATTTATTTATTTTGACAGAGACAGAGCAAGCAAAGGAGGAGCAGAGAAAGTGGGGGAGAGAGAATCCCAAGCAGGCTCCACGCTGTCAGCACAGAGCCCAATGCAGGGCTCAAATAACAAACTGTGAGATCATGACCTTATCTGAAACCAAGAGCCAGATGCTTAATTGACTGAGCCCCCGGGTGCCCAGTGAAAAAGCATTCTTGCCCACAAAAATTCCTGAAACTTATATTCTGGTGGGGGATAGTGTGGAGGTTGGATAGAAATAAGTAATAAACATAATAAGGAAGAAATATAAGAATTATGATAAGGATAGTGTTAGGGAGAAAATAAAGCTAGGAAATATTAGAGAGAGGTGTTGCAATTTTAGAAAGGGTGGCAAAGAGGGGCCACTATGAAGTTGATATGAAGAAGTTGAAGGAGCAAGCTGTATCTGTAAGGGTGTTCCAGACAGAAGGGATAGAATGTGCAAAGGCACTGTGGTGAAATATGCCTGGTGTGTTTGAGGAGGAGGAAGGGAACCAGTGTGACTCTAGCACAGTGAGGAGAGTAGATGAGGCTGCAGTGTGTGTGGGGAAAGGAAGATAATGGTGGGGAGAGGCATGTGGAAACCTCAATCGCCATTGTAATGACTGTCTGTGGCTTCTTCTCTGATTTACTTGAAGAGCCACTGAAGGTTTTGAAGGAGAAGGGAAGGGATGTGCTCTGACTTATCCTTTAAAAAGGTCAGTGGGGAAGGGATGATATAAGAGAGGAAGCAAAGAGATTACTAAATAGGACATTGTAATAATCCAGGTGACCAATATTGATGAATCTAATTTAGGGTGGTTGCAGTGGACATAGAATGACATGAATGGATTCAAGAGCAATTTGGACTTTGAAGGTGACAACTCAGGTCTTGTGAATAGAAGGTATAGGGAATGAGGAAAAATGTACAAGAAGGAGTCATGAATGACCCTCAAGATCTTGGCTTGCACAACTGTGTAGATGGTGCTATTTACTGAGCTATAGAAAGCAAGAGAAGGAGGAGGTCTGATGGCAGCGAAGGGAATATCAGAAGCTCATTTTGGGGTATGTTAACTTTGAGATTTCTATTAGACTTATAAGCAGATGTGTCTGTTAGGCTGTTAGCTGTATGAGTTGAGGTCTGGGGAGATTTCTAGGCTGGAAATGAAAAACTGGGAGCTGTAAATACATAGATGGAGCTGGATATGACTGTCTAGGAAGCAGAGAAAAGAGAAACTGAGGGGAGCCTGAGTGGCTCAGTCGGTTAAGCATCCAACTTTGGCTCAGGTCATGATTTCATGGTTCATGGGTTCCAGCCCTGTGTTCGGCTCTGTGCTGACAGCTCAGAGCCTGGAGCCTGTTTCGGATTCTGTGTCTCCTTCTCTCTCTGCCCCTCCCCTGCTCGTTTTCTGTTTCCCTATCTATCAAAAATAAATAAACGTTAAAAATATATATATTAAAAAAAGAGAGAGAGAAACCGAGGATCTGGAGAGCTCCAGCATGTGGAGGTCGGATGAGAGGAGGACTCAGGCAAGGGACTGCTTGTAGGTGGTCACTTTTCTGTCCCCATATTTCAGCCTCTCCGTGTGAGCAGATGCACTTGACCCCACACTCCTTCTTGAAAGACTCTGCTGTTGACTTCTATGCCCCTGGTTTTCCTTCTGCTTCCCTTGCTGTTCTTTCTCTTTCACTTGCTCCTTGTCTCTTCTTGACCTCTACATATTCTAAAGGTTCATGTGATTATGTTCCAGTGCTTTATTCTAAAGCCCTTTTCTCTGTCTACGTTCTCTACATTTGTTCCACAAGAGCTACCACCCTTAATCCAGTTTAATTCCTTGTTTGACTTTCTATATAGTGCCATTAAACTGTTTTTCTTTTCACTTTACTGAAATGATTTTATGACTGAAATTATCCTTTGGCAGGGAAATTTCAATGGAAGATTTGTCTGTGTCATATTTTGCTATGTATAGTTTTGGCCAGTATGGTTTTCTTTTTTGGCTATTATTCTACCAGATCCAATTTCCCTAAATCTCATCTTGTGGACCTAAATCTTATCAAGAAGATTTGATTCAGTTTTATTTTATGTTGGTTATTTCTACCCATAGAAGCCTTGGAGCAAAGAGCAATTACTAAGCCAAAAGTGTAACCTCTGGAAGCAGTATTGGATGAAAAATCCTTGGAGTCATTTATTTTCTATCTTTTTGAAAATTTCCATAATAAAAACTTAAGAAATAACCATAGGTCATAAAGGGCCCAAAATATTATGTCTCAAAAATCATTTTAATTTACCCAGAAAATATTTTTTCAGCATCGATTAGGTGCCAGGGCCTGGGGGTACAAGTGGTAATCAAAATGAAGTCCCTGCCTTAGGGACTTTCTATTACTTTTTATTTTGAGACACAGATAAAGCAGAATATGAGAATGGAGAAAGTGGCAGGGGCTGTTTAGAAGGGATGACCAGGGAAGATCTGAGAGGAGGTAACATTTGAGTAGAGACCTGAATGAAGAAGGGAAGTGAGCCATGCGAAGATCTAGGGACCGAACATTCTAGCAGAGGGAGCAGCTAATACAAAGGCCTCGAGGTGGTGATGGGCTGGATGTATTCACGGAGGAGCAGAAAGGCCAGTGTGATGTGATGGTTGGATTGTGCACGAGGGGAGAGGAATGTTTGATGAGGATGGGGGAGATAAAGGGAGCCTGATTATGTAGGGCTTTCTTAAAAATGCTGTTGTTTGAGGGGCGCCTGGGTGGCGCAGTCGGTTAAGCGTCCGACTTCAGCCAGGTCACGATCTCGCGGTCCGTGAGTTCGAGCCCCGCGTCAGGCTCTGGGCTGATGGCTCAGAGCCTGGAGCCTGTTTCCGATTCTGTGTCTCCCTCTCTCTCTGCCCCTCCCCTGTTCATGCTCTGTCTCTCTCTGTCCCAAAAATAAATAAACGTTGAAAAAAAAATTAAAAAAAAAATAAATAAAAATGCTGTTGTTTGAGATGAGAAACCTCTGGAGAGGAGTGAAATGGTCTGGAAAAGCATTGAAAATATCTCTCTGGATGCCATATTGAGAATATTCATGGGGAGAGTAGGAAGGGAGCATAGTAAGACCAGCTAGGAAGCTGCTGCAATAGTTCTAGGCTTGGACTAGGATGGTCCTGGAAAAGGAGAAAAGTGGTCAGATGCTAAACATATTTTGAAGATGGAGCCTGAACAATATGCTGGTGGATTGATGTGGAATAGGAAGGAAAGAAAGAGTAGTGAAGGATGTCTCTGAAGTTTTAAAGTAAAACAGATTTTGGCAGGGGAGAGGTGTGTGTGGGGGCGGTAATTAGAAATTATGCACTTGGTTTGGGCATGTACTGTTTGAGCTACCATTAGTTAATGTTGGGACTATAAAGCCCATCTGAGCCTTTAGTGTTCATTGGAATCCCCCAGAACCAGCATGCAGATTCTAGCAGCAGGTCTGGGGCAGGGCGGAGATTCTGCATTTCTAACTAGGTGATACCACTGCTGTTGGTCCTGGGCCAGCTTTGAGTAGCCAGGGCAGTAGATAGTTACATAGTAGTGCCTTCTGGGGCTCCAAAGTGAGGCTGGCCTCTATGAAGTTGGGAGTGGTCCATGTACAGAAGCCATCCTTGGCTTAGGAAAGGGACGTCTTTGAGAACATGACTGACAGGAGCTGTGAGGGAGTCTGGGAGGTGGTGGGAGGCCTGCTCTGAGGGAGGTGGCCCCCTAGGGGTCAGCGTTCCCTCCTGTGACTCCCACCTGCCATGCCCGCTCCTGCTCACTGCAGACAGTTTTGCCATGGCGCTGAGCGCAGGACAATGACCCGGCCCAATGCCCTGGATCGATGCCGAAGGAAACTGCTCATGCACAGCCTGGTACGGTCTGGGGAAGGGGGATCAGGGGCACCTAGCTGGGGCCCTTCACTCATGTTTCTTCCTGCCCTTCCAGAACCTGTTGGCAAAGCAAGGACTGCGGCTTCTACGGGGTCTGAGACAGGGCAACGTGCAAGAGAAGGTGGCCTTGTCCAAGAAGCTCTTGGCCAAACTGCGCTTCCTGGCCCAGGAGGTAACACCTGGCCACCTATTTCCCTACCCTGCACACCCTGGTGGTGATGGTTGCACAACACTGGTTGATGCACAGCAATGTACTACTGAACTGTACACTTAAAAATGGTTGCAGAGGTAAGTTTTATGCAATGTGTATTTTACCACAATTAAAAAAAAAAACAGGAAAAAAAAAATAAGTCAGGTTGGACTTTGAGGTTGCCTGTGGGGCATCCAAGAGAGATATGTCTAGGAGGCAGGTGGCTCTATGGATCTGGGGTTTAAGGGTATGTGTCAGGGCTAAGATGGATGCTTTGTCCATCCGACCAGTGGAAGCTGCAGCACAGGTGGTCTCAGCTCCATCCATGACCCAGTTCTCTGCCCGCAGCCCCAGCCACCCCTCCCAGATGTGCTAGTCTGGATGCTCAGTGGGCGGCGCCGAGTGGCCTGGGCCCGGATCCCTGCCCAGGATGTGCTGTTCTCTGTGGTCGAGGAGGAGCGAGGCCGGGACTGCGGGAAGATCCAGAGTCTGCTGCTCTCGGTGAGGGGTGTGGGTTGCTGGAGACTGGAGTGGGGTGAGGCTCCTAGGGTGGGGGCAGGGGGCATGAGGTGGAAGGCTGTGGTTCCCATCAGGGTGTCCCCAAACTCTTTGTTGTATTTAAAAAAACTTAAAATTTTCTTATTTAAAACTTTTTTTTTCAATTAAAAAAATTTTAAGTTATAAAATGTCTTATTTTAATTTTTAAATTTTTTACATTTAATATTTACTTAAAGATTATTATTCTTTTTAAAATTATATGTGAACTCTTTTCAATTATCCTAAAAACCAAAAGGAGATTGTACCTTTACCTAGGTCCACTTTGATGTGAGAAAAACACCAAGTTTTGTCAGCTCTGGGCCTGCACTGGCCCTTTTGCTGACCAGGCTCTGATAGACCATCAGGTGACCAGAATGGGAGAGTGATGAGTCTGTTCCTTATAAGTACAGCTGGTTTGGGGGCAAAATGCTTCTAATCAAGGTGTCCCTGGAATAGATGCCAGCAAAGGTCCCTAGTGCTAAGAAGCAGTGACTGTTGGGGTAGGGAACAGGGCATCTAAATGGGTTGGGGCTCAGAGGACAGAGGGGGTAAGCGTGGGGTGTGGCAGTGAAGAGCTTAGAGTGCATTTTGGGGGAATGGAGTTTGGTACAGGAAGTGACGGTGTTGGGGCCAGAGGACTAGGTTATGGGAGTGTTCAGGGTAATGGGTACTGGATAGATGGCATGGAGTGGGTGTAGGGATAGGGTACAGGGAGTACTCTTTGGCTTCGGCACTGGGAAGTGGTCTAGTGATACAGAGAGTATGGGCACACCCTGGGGGTGCAGGGACAGGTCTAGGGGGGTGGTAAGAGGTGGGCCCTAACATGCCACCTCCCTGCAATAGGCACCTGGGGCAGCTCCAGGCGAAGTCTGTGCCAAGCTGGAGCTCTTCCTGTGGCTAGGGCTGGGCAAACAAGCCAAGGCCTGCACCTCAGAGCTCCCCCAGGACCTGCTGCCCGAGCCCTCTGCGGGGCTGCCCCACCACCTGTGCCGGGATGGTGAGTACAGCTCAACACTTGCCTCACGTGTGGGGCTAGATGCTCAGCTGGGGGTTTGGAGGGGTCTGGGGTCAGGGACTCCGGTGGTCCCCTGAACAAACATCTCTTTCTTGCCCCCACCGCAGACTTCAGCTACTTCCAGCTCCGGGCCCACTTGTACCAGGCCCGAGGGGTGTTGGCAGCAGATGACAGTGGGCTTTCGGACCCATTTGCTCGAGTCCTCATCTCTACCCAGTGCCAGACCACACGGGTGAGGGCTGCACTGAGATGTTGTGGGAAGCGGGGGGCTCTGGGAGACAGAGTGGGGTGAGGGCTGAGCTTTTCCTCAGGCCCTAAGTCTCTTTTCCTGCTCTGGATTTTCAGGACAGGATACTGGATTGAGCCGCCCTGGTTTAGAGGGTGGCGTAGAACTAGAGGGCCTTCCGGATGAGGAATTGTTTTGAGGGGTTGACTGTAGGGTTAGCCCCAAGGGTGGCAGTTTACAGTTAGGGGGACCAGGCTCCAACCCCACTCTGGCGGGCTGTTTCATCTTCACCACACTCTCCCTCCTTTTGTGATAAACAGCTGCTTAAAGTATCACTTCAGGGCAAGAGTGCTCATGTGGGATGTATGTTGGAGATTCCTTTGATGCCTGCCTTTGACTCCCTCTCTGCATGGCCCCCAAGGTCCTGGAGCAGACGCTGAGTCCCCTGTGGGATGAGCTCTTGGTGTTTGATCAGCTGATTGTAGATGGGAGGAGGGAGCATCTGCAGGAGGAGCCTCCATTAGTGGTCGTCAATGTCTTTGACCACAATAAGTTTGTGAGTGTGGCCTGGGCCCCATCTGTGTTCCCACCCCCGAGTGCCCCCCACTTCTCATCTTGATGCTCCCTTCCCCTGGCTCTGGAGCATCTTCTAGTTTTGTCTTAACTGCCCTGCTCTCTGCAGGGCCCCCCTGTGTTCCTGGGAAGGGCACTGGCCACCCCGAGGGTGAAGCTGACAGAGGACCCTTACCAACGCCCTGAGCTACAGTTCTTCCCCCTAAGAAAGGGGCCCCGGGCAGCTGGAGAGCTCATTGCCACCTTTGAACTCATTGAACTGGACTACAGTGGCCGGTTTGAGGTCAGAATACCCTGGCCTAGCCGGCACAGGCTGTGGACTCTTATATTCTATCAGGTTGTCTGCCTCCAGAGAATATGGAATATGGGCATGTCCTGGGATTACCCCTCCAAGTATTTTACCCCCAGAAAATGCAGGCTGCAGATCTGTCTTGCAGTCACCTCATTGGACTTCCCAACTTCAGGGAACATTAGAAGTACACATATCGTGGGTTCCTTTTGCCAGGCCTTCCACCCTAGAGACAGACCCTAGGCTGCAGCTTGATCCTCATGCCTCAGACACCCACCTTCCTGTGCATGACTGCTTCCTGAGATATGCCCCTCCTGCCCATCCAGCCTTTTTAGTTCCTCTGGATTTATATTTCACTGGCAGTTCTCAATATCCCTTCCCCAAGCCCACATTTCCCTCCTTTGGCCTGATTCCTCCTTGACCTCTGATCTCTTGCCCCCTGCAGCCCTCAGTGCCCAGTGATGTAGAGCCCCAGGATCTGACACCACTGGCCGAGCCCCTCTCCGGGCGCCTGTCCCTGCCACCTAACGTGCGTCCAGTACTCAGGGAGTTCCGTGTTGAGGTATCGTCAGTCACACATCCCTCCCACCCCCACCACACACACACACACACACACACACACACACACACACACACACACACCTGGGTGCCTTCTGTCAAGTGCAGGCCCCTGAATTTCTCACTTCCTGACCCCAGGTGCTGTTCTGGGGTCTGAGGGGTCTCGGCCGTGTGCATCTGTTTGAAGTGGAGCAGCCCCAGGTTGTGCTGGAGGTGGCTGGGCGACGTGTGGAGTCGGAGGTCCTGGCCAGTTACCGTGAGAACCCCAATTTCACTGAGCTTGTCAGGCATCTGACAGTGGTGAGGACATGAGCTGGGAGCAAGAAATGCTGGGTTAACAAGTGAAAGGGCAGTGGGATGGTGAATTCCTAGCCAGTCATCTTAGGTTAATCAAGGGATCAGCAAATATTTTTAAATTTATTTTTAAATTAATATTATTATTATTTTTAATTTACATCCAAATTAGTTAACATATAGTATAATGATAACTTCAGGAATAGAATTTAGTGATTCATCATTACATATAACACCCAGTGCTCATCCCAACAAATGTCCTCCTTAATGTCCCTTGCCCATTTAGCCCATCCCCCCACCCCAAACCCCTCCAGCAGCCCTCAGTTCGCTCTCTGTATTTAAGTCTCTTATGGTTTGTCTCCCTTCCTGTTTTTATACTGTTTTTGCTTCCCTTCCCTTATGTCCATCTATTTTATATCTTAAATTCCACATAAGACTGAAATCATATTTGTCTCTCTCTGACTGACTTATTTCACTTATTGCTAGAGTAATATACTCTAGTTCCATCCATGTTGTTGCAAATGGCAAGATTGCATTCTTTTTGATTTCCAAGTAATACTCCATTGTATATGTATACCACATCTTCTTCTTCTTCTTTTTTAATGCTTATTTTTGAGAGAGAGAGAGAGAGAGAGAGAGAGAGAGACAGAACATGAGTGGGAGAGAGGCAGAAAGAGAGAGGAAGACACAGAATCCGAAGCAGGCTCCGGACTCCAAGCTGTCAGCCCAGAGCCTGATGCAGGGCTCAAACTCATGAACTGTGAGATCATGACCTGAGCCAAAGTCGGACACTTAACCAACTGAGCCACCCAGGCGCCATTCATCTTTATTCATTCATTATTCGATGGACATTTGGGCTCTTTCCATACTTTGTTGTTGATAGTGCTACTATAAACATTGGGGTGCATGTGCCCCTTTGAATCAGCTCTTCTGTATCCTTTGGATAAATACTTAGTAGTGCAGTTGCTGGGTCGTAGGGTAGTTCTATTTTTAACTTTTTGAGGAACCTCCATACTATTTTCCAGAATGGCTGTACCAGTTTGCATTCCCACCAGCAGTGCAAAAGGGTTCCTCTTTCTCTGCAGCCTTGTCAACATCTGTTGTTGCCTGAGCTGTTAATGTTGCCATTCTGACAGGTATGAGGTGGTATCTCATTGTGGTTTGGATTTGTATTTCCCTGATGATGAGTGATGTTGAGTATTTTTTCATGTGTCTGTTAGCCATCTGGATGTCTTCTTTGGAAAAGTATCTATTCATGTCTTCTGCCTGTTTCTTCACTGGATTATTTGTTTTTTGGGTGTTGAGTTTGATCAGTTCTTTATAAAGATATAACCCTTTATCTGATATGTCATTTGCAAATATCTTCTCCCATTCTGTCAGTTGCCTTTTAGTTTTGCTGATTGTTTCCTTCGCTGTGCAGAAGGTTTTTATTTTGATGAGGTCCCTATAGTTCATTTTTGCTTTTGTTTCCCTTGCCTCTGGAGACATGTCAAGTAAGAAGTTGCTGCAGCCCAGGTCACAGAGGTTGTTGACTGTTTTCTCCTCTAGGATTTTGATGGCTTCTTGTCTTACATTTAGGTTTTTCATCCATTTTGAGTTTATTTTTGTGTATGGTATAAGCAAGTGGTCCAGGTTCATTCTTCTGCATGTTGTTGTCCAGGTTTCCCAACACCATTTGCTGAAGAGACTGTCTTTTTTCCATTGCATTCTTTCCTGCTTTGTCAAAGATTAGTTGGCCGTATATTTATGGGTCCATTTCTGGTTCTCTATTCTGTTCTATTGATCTATGTGTCTTTTTTTTTAAATAAAAAATTTTTTTAATGTTTATTTTTTGAGAGAGAGAGTGTGAGTCAGAGCACAAGCAGAGGAGGGGCAGAGAGGGAGGGAGACACAGAATCCAAAGCAGGCTCCAGGCTCTAAGCTGTCAGCACAGAGCCCGATGTAGAGCTTAAACCCAAGAACCACGAGATAACGACCTGAGCTGAAGCCGAACGCTCAACTGACTGAGCCACCCAGGTACCCCTATGTGTCTGTTTTTGTGCCAGTACCATACTGTCTTGATGATTACAGCTTTGTAATACAGCTTGAAGTCTGGAGCAGATTTTCTATAAAAAGACAGATAGTAAATATTTTAGGCTTTGTGGGCCAAACAGTTTCAGTTGCAATTACTCAACTCTGTAATAGTAGCATGAAAACAGACATAAACAGCAAGTAAATGAATAAGTATGACTGTGTTCCAATAGAACTTTATTTATAAAAACAGGCAGTGGGCCAGATTTGGCTTACAGGTTATAGTTTGCTGATCTCTGGATTAATCCATGAACTGGTGGTACTCTCTTGGCTCTGTTGAATGAGTGGCTTAGGTAAGTGTCATGCAATATAGGTCACAAAGAATCTATCTAGTGTCTGAGACACCAGGGGCAAAGAAATGCATTCTTTGTATAATTTGTAATTTCTGTAGTATGGACTTTGGATTCAAATTCTGGCAGTGCCACTTAGGAGCTTGTCAAATCACTTGTCTTAGTTGAGCTTTAGTGTTTTGTTTGTTTAATGATGTTTTTTTTTTTTTTTAATTTTTTTTTCAACGTTTTTTATTTATTTTTGGGACAGAGAGAGACAGAGCATGAACGGGGGAGGGGCAGAGAGAGAGGGAGACACAGAATCGGAAACAGGCTCCAGGCTGTGAGCCATCAGCCCAGAGCCTGACGCGGGGCTCGAACTCACGGACCGCGAGATCGTGACCTGGCTGAAGTCGGACGCTTAACCGACTGCGCCACCCAGGCGCCCCAGTTTAATGATGTTTTTAAAGCTTATTTATTTATTTTGAGAGAGAGAGAGTGCTAGCACAGTGGGGGAGAGGCAGAGGAGAAAGAGAGAGAGAATCTCAAGCAGGCTCGGTGCTGACAGTGCAGAGCCTGATGATGCAGGGCTCAAACTCATGAACCATGAGATCATGACCTGAGCTGAAACCCAGAGTCAGACACTTAACTGATTGAGCCACCCAGGCGTCCCTATTTGTTTGTATAAAATAAAAACCTATTTCTGATTTGAAGAAATGTTGAAGATTGAAGGAAATACATCAAATGCTTCTTGCAGGAGTGCTATAGGGAGCCAGTGAGAGAAAGGATCTTGGTGAAAGGGCTTTGTAAACTGAAAAGTGCTGTGCCTATGTGAGGGGGAGACCAGGACAAAGCGTAGTGGTTCCAGACTGCAAGGGGGTAAAACCCCACAAGAACAAACAAACAAAAAACAAAAACAACAAAAACCCTAACACATTCTTGACTCTGTTTCACCTGCAGGAGTTTTCAGTTTGGAAACTTCATTGTGCTATAAGATGGTGAAGCTGGAAGCAGTTTGCTCATTGAACTTCTAGGGAGTGTTTCCTTTCATTTCTTATTTCACAGTGCAAATTGAGGAAATCCTATCCCTGTCTCCACCTCTCTCCATTGTGCACTTGAAAAGAATGACTAAGTATTCTTCTGTTGTTTAGGTAGAGTGACCTATAGATGTCAGTTAGGTCAGGCTGGGTTAATAGTGTTATGCAAGCCTTCTTAAAAAAAGCCTTCTTTAGGGGCGCCTGTGTGGCTCAGTCAGTTGAGCATCTGACTTCAGTTCAGGTCATGATCTCACAGTTCGTGGGTTTGAACCCCACATCAGGCTCTGTGCTGACAGCTGAGAGCCTGAAGCCTACTTCAGATTCTGTGGCTCCCTCTCTCTGCCCCTCCCCTGCTCACACTCTCTCTCTCTCAAAAATAAACAAACACTTAAAAAAATTAAAAAAAAAAAAAAGCCTTCTTGAAGTGCCTGAGTGGTTCAGTCAGTTGGGCATTGGGTCTTGATTTTGACTCAAGGTCATGATCTCATGGTTAGTGACACTGAGCGAGTCAGACTCCATGCTGACAACATGGGACCTGCTTGGGCTTCATTCCCTCTCCCAATCTCTCTCTCTCTCTCTCTCTCAAAATAAATAAATAAACAATGAAAAAAAAAGCCTTCTTGGTGATTTTCTAACTAGTTGTTCCATCCATTATTGAGAATATGATACTGAAGTCTCCAGCTATTATTGTTGAATCGTTTTTTTTTTCCTTCAATTTTGTCGCAGTCTACTTGTATTTTGAGGTTCTGTTGTTAGGTACATATATGTTTACAATTGTTATAGCTTCCTACGAGTTGATCTGTTTATCATCACAAAATGTCCGCCTTTGCCTCTAGTAAAATTTTGTGTCTTAAAGTCCATTTTGTCTGATAGTAAAGCCATTCCAGCTCTCTATGATTACTGGATGCATGATGTATCTTTCCCCATCCTTTTCCTCTCAACCCATATGTGTCTTTTTTTTTTTTTAATTTTTTTTTTTTTTACGTTTATTTATTTTTGAGACAGAGAGAGACACAGCATGAACGGGGGAGGGGCAGAGAGAGAGGGAGACACAGAATCTGAAGCAGGCTCCAGGCTCTGAGCCATCAGCCCAGAGCCCGACGCGGGGCTCGAACTCACGGACCGTGAGATCGTGACCTGAGCTGAAGTCGGATGCTCAACCGACTGAGCCACCCAGGCGCCCCCATATGTGTCTTTTTAAAGAGTATCTTTTAGCACGTAGTTGCATATTAAAAAAAAAAAAATCCATTGGCAATCTCTGCCTTTTGCTTAAAGTGTTTAATAAAGTCAATGTGAAGTGTTGGGGTCCGGGAGCTAACGGTTAAGAAAGAATTCTTGAGACATCTTTGGTGCAAAACAGGTGGTTTTATTAAAGCACAGGGACAGGAATTGTGGGCAGAAAGGGCTGCACTGGGGTTGTGAGGAGTGACTGATTATATACCTTCAGGTTGGAAGAGGGTTAGGAATAGTGTAAATCTCTGAGGAATTTGGAAGCCAAGTTTCCAGGACCTTGAGGGGCTAGCTGCTGTTAGGATAAGGTCACTTACTACTGCTGGTAAAACCTTAGTCATGATATCAGATGGCCATTTGCTTGGAGGATGACTGCTAACATGTATCTTTAGGGGTGGGGTAGAATAAAGGAAGTTTCCAAAGGGATTTTTACAGGTAAGGCTAATGTCAAGCTAAGGTTGCCTTTTGCCTTTAGCAATAGAGGCAGTTGAGTTCCTGAAGAAAGGTCACCCTGCCTGTCTTAAGCACTTTGCCAAGGCAAAGGAAATTTAATTTTTTTCTGCATTTCTTTTGTCTTTGTTTTACAAATCAAAGTCACATTTGATGTTATTATTGACATGGTTGGGATTTACATCTGCCATTTTGCTATTTGTTTTCTTTTTCTTTTTTCTTTTTTTTAATGTTTATTTATATTGAGAGAGAGAGATACAGAGCACTTGCAGGTGTAGCCACACACTGAATAAAAAGTTCTCAGACTCTTAGACGGAGCAGACATGCAGGGCTGCCTCTGCCAGTGAAACAGCAGCAAACTGCACTTGGTCTTTATTTCATGTTCGCCAGATATAAACATCAAAGAATGTCAAAGCATGGGAGGAAAACACAAAGAGCCTCCACACATAGACCAAAGACACATCTGGTGTTTACGTGAAAGCATGCAGAGAAGATGTGCAGTTTCAAGGACTGCTAGGCAATTGCAGTGGGTCTGTTTCCTAACTGGCTCCTGGGAGATCGTGGGGCTCTGGATCTTGTAGTGCTATCGCATTCGACAGCCTTGAGACCAGAACATTGCTGACATTTCAGCAATTACCCCATTTACTTTCCCAGGGCTTACGATACACTCTCTAAAAATAACTCCACAAGCAGGGGAGGGGCAGAGAGAGAGAGGGAGAAAGAGAATCCCAAGTAGACTCCATGCCAGCCAGCGCAGAGCCTGACAGTGGGGCTCGATCCTACAAACTGTGAGATCATGACCTGAGCCTAAACCAGGAGTCAGACTTTCAACTGACTGAGCCGCCTAGGCCCCCCTGGTATTTGTTTTCTATATGTCTCATATATTTTTTTGTTCCTCCGTTACCGCTTTCTTTTGTATTAAATAGATATTTATTAGTGTACTACTTTAATTCCTTTGTTGATCTTTGCTTAGTAGTTGCTCTAGGGATCGCAGTATGTGTGCTGATTTTTCACAATCTACTTCAGATTAATACTAATTCAATTACAGTAAAATTTTTCTCATAGGGCCATTCCTTCTTCCCTCCTTTGTGTGATAATTGTCACATATGTATAAAATAAACCCAACAATATAGTATTTTAATTTTTCCCTCCCCCTTAGGATCCATTGATAGATATAGAATTCCCATATTAAAGGGCATACATATTGCTATGGCTTTAAATCTACATTAGCAAACTGAGCATGTAATCCTTCATGTAATAACAACCACCACCACCACATGTTTCTGATAGCACTTTGTTGGCTCCAAAGTAGTTTTGTATCTATTATGTCTTTTGATATTTACAACAGTCTTTTGAGTGCAGGATCGTATCCCTTTTTGGCCAGGGAAACAGACTTGGTGACTTACCAGACATGACACAATGGGGCTGTGGCAGAGCTGAGCTGGGAAAGCAGCTTTAGCTCCACTGTTCTGTCTGCCTGTGCTGCTGCCTCTCCCTCCTCCCCAGGTCTTCAGAGACCCAGTTTCTCTCTCCCCACCCCCAGGACCTGCCTGAGCAGCCTTACCTACAGCCCCCACTCAGCATCCTGGTGATCGAGCGCCGGGCCTTTGGCCGCACCGTGCTTGTGGGTTCCCATGTTGTCTCCCACATGCTGCGATTCATACTCCGGGCTCATGAGGATCCCCCCAAGGAGGAAGGAGAAGAGGAAGAGACAGTGGACCTAGTGCCTAAGGGACCAAAAGGTAAGGGGCCTTCCTTCCCCTTAAGGGCCACCAGACAGAAGCCCCTCAGTTCCCCGGTTGAGATGGCTCCAGGGGACCCTCCCGTGGGGCATGGAGTCTGACTTCACCTGACCTCCTCCTGGTGTCATTTCCTCTTTCCCAGGACAGAGGTCTCTGGATCCCTCCTTGGCTGAAGTGGGGATGCCCAGACGGCTTCTCAAGGTGATGGGGTATGGAAATGGGTGGAGAAGGGACTGGGTGATGCTGGGTTAGGAGGGGCGCTCAGTTCTCTCTTCCTCAGGCTCCTCTGAAGAAGTTCCCTTTGAGAAGCCTCCTGAACCAAGGCCCCGAGCTGGAGGAAGACATCCCAGATCCTGAAGAGCTTGACTGGTGGTCCAAGTACTATGCCTCTCTGCAGGAGCTCCAGGGGCAGGTGGGTGCAGAGGCGGGTCCCAGACTGCAGCTGGAGGCCCAGGGGTATAAATGGCAAGAAGGATCTCATCAGATGTGGAGCTCCACAACTTTTCAGAGCTCTTCATTGCATGTCTTTTCTTACCTTCATAATAGTTCTGGAAGCTGAGAATTACTGACAGCTGTGCTGTCAGAAATATCATGTGAACTACATATGTAATTTTAACTTTTAAAGTGGACAAATTAAAAAAAAAAGTAAAAGGAAAGAGGTGAAATGGACTTTAATAATATATTTTATTTAACCTAATATATCTAAAATATTCCAACAAGTAACCTTTATAAAAAACAATGGAACATTTGACATTCTTATTTTTTTTTTTTAATTTTTTTTTTCAACGTTTATTTATTTTTGGGACAGAGAGAGACAGAGCATGAACAGGGGAGGGGCAGAGAGAGAGGGAGACACAGAATCGGAAACAGGCTCCAAGCTCCGAGCCATCAGCCCAGAGCCTGACGTGGGGCTCGAACTCACGGACCGCGAGATCGTGACCTGGCTGAAGTCGGACGCCCAACCGACTGCGCCACCCAGGCGCCCCTTGACATTCTTATTTTATACTAAGTCTTTAAAATTTGGTATTTTACACTTACGGCACATCTCAATTTTCAATTTCAAGTGCTCACTAGACACACGGAGCTGGGGTTACTGTCTTGGGCAGTGCAGGACTAGCCAAACTGCTAGCCAAATACAAGTGGTTCACATGGCTGAACTGGGACTAAGGTTTCCCAACTCCCTATCCTGGAAAAGGGGTAGATTAAGGAGGTGAAGGTAGGGAGGAATCTCTGACTTGCCCTTTGATTTCAGACCAACTTTGATGAGGATGAGATGGATGATCCTGGGGAGTCAGGTAGGAGATTTGGCTTTCTTGTTCCTACTCTGTGTGTCTCTCTCCCTCCCGTGACACGAGTATTTCAAATTGTGGCATTTCTGCTGTTCCCAGATGGGGTCAACCTCATTTCTGTGGATGGGGAGGTCCAAGACCAGGGTCAGGGTGAGGCTGAAGTTAAAGGCTCTGTGTCCCAGAAGAAAGCAATAGCCACCCTGAAGGTGAGTGGGGGTCAGAGAAAGGGGATTCTGCTAGGATTCTTGACATTGGTCTATCACTGAGGCCCTTGCCTTTCAGATCTACAACAGCACCCTGGAAGAAGAGTTTAACAACTTTGAAGACTGGCTGAATGTATTTCCCCTGTACCGAGGGCAAGGGGGCCAGGATGGAGATGCAGAGGAAGAACGGTCTGGACACCTTGTGGGCAAGTTCAAGGTATGTTTGGGGAAGGAAGGGTGGCCAAGGAGTACAGGTGGGGAGGCAGGAGGAAGACTCTCTTCCCAGAGACTTTTCTGTCTTCCCCAAACCAGGGCTCGTTCCTTATTTACCCTGAATCAGAGGCAGTGTCGTTCTCTGCGCCCCAGATCTCCCGAGGGGTCCCACAGAACCGGCCCATTAAGCTCCTGGTCAGAGTATATGTGGTAAAGGTGAGCATCCGTCGCCCCAGCATGCCTCCAATTCCAGTGAAGGTAATGTACATGAAAGCTACAGACTGAGGATTTGGAAGGAATCTCAGGGATTAGAGTCCACCTTCTTCATTTTTCAGGTGGGAAATCTTAGGCACAAGTTAAAAGACTCCCCAGGGTTACAAAGCTCACACATGGTAGAACCAGACTTTAGAGCTTAGGTCTTCTGACTCCTTTTTCATAGTTCTAAACCCTTAGTTTATAGAACGTGGAATATAACTCCAGGAAGAGCAGAGCTCTTAACCTCAAGTTTCACAACGGCTTGTCATCAGATACCTTCACACAGGGGAGAGGGGTAAAAAAAACAAAACAAAATAAAAAACAAACCTTCACACAGGTTCTTGCCTTGCTGTGGTTTTCACACAGCACTCAGCAGGGTCCTGAAGTTTCCCAAAAGGCATCTCAGGGAATAAGAGGAATGAGTGGGTTTCTCTGCCTACTTCGATCTCAGCACCGGAATAGATTCTGTGTTTCTATCTGGTTTAAATATAAGGATTATGACTAAGACATAATTTAAATAAATGTTTTGTGGCACATCCTAGTGCATAATTCGATAGTAGGAGTCATCTTGATCTTCTGCTTCTCGCAGTATCACAGACTAGATGGTTGGAAATAACTTCCTGATGTAATTCATCTAGAAATGCTAGATAAACAATCTTAAATGAATGCTAAGCTCATAAGAAAGGGAATCCCCAGTGGATCTAAGATGAAGAGGCAGAAGGAATCCCACGTGGAAGCCCTGAAAAACCTCTTGAGAGGTTTGTCTATACCTGGACCCAGAAGCTTAGGTTCTAATAGCCTGTCTAAGATGGGAGCCACAGCCAAGACCCTCGCATGAAGCAGCATCCAGTGAGGGCTCTGCTCTTAGTGAAAGGTGGGCAAGAGGAATTCTACTCACTGGAAAAGAAGCTTGTTAGGTAAATGGTCTGTTTCAGCCTCTTCTCCAACTGGGGGAAGTAGAAAACAATGTCTTCCCTGAGAATTTATAATTAGAGTTTTGCTCTCACATTGATTTAAGACTTGAATTTATATTATCTGCTCACTCCAGAAAACTCAAAGCTGAGAAATTGGCTTAAAATGGTCCCAAGTTTTCCCTGGTTTCATAGATTTAGACAGCTAAGTTTGGGCTCACAATCCCAAATTAAAAGAGAAAAAAAGAAAAAAAAAAAAAAAACTATGAGAAAAAAATGCCAGAAAAAAACAACACAAAGGAGAATGAAACTTTTAAGGGTTTTGGATGTTAGAATTTTCAAATATTAAAATGTAAAACAACCATCTAATATATTTCACAAATGGAGAACGAGAGGCTTTCAAGAGTGACTGGAAGTTTTGAAAATAATAAAATTAGGGGCACCTGGGTGACTCAGTCGGTTGGGCATCCAACTCTTGATTTTGGCTCAGGTCATGATGCTTCAGTTGTGAGATCGAGCACTTCATGTGCTCTGCACTGAGCATGGAGCCTGCTTGGGATTTATTCTCTTTCTCTCTGCCCCTCCCCCACTTGTGCGTGCACGTGTGCTCTCTCTCTCTCTCAAAATAAATAAACATTAAAAAATAATAATAAAGTGGCTGCAGGTTGGTAGTTTGCCCAGGAAACTGTTAAAAGTAAAAGCAAGCCGTCTCTGGCAGAGAGCACGTGCAATTTGGGCCCTCAGGATGAGTTAAACCAAACATGAGTCATGGTAAAAAGTGCCAATATACAAAGAAACAAGCCACAATGAATAAGAATAGCAAAAATAACAACAGATTCAGACTCCTGGGGTCAGTGATATTGGAATGACCAGATAGAAAATATAAATAACTATTAGAGAATGTTTAAAGAAATAAAGAATATATTAAAATACATAAGGAACAAGAGATTAAATTAAAAATAAACAGCCAATTTGAAGGAGTAGATAGAACTTTTAGAAATTAGATTTTTTAATATTTATTTTTGAGAGAGAGCGAGCATGAGCAGGGGAGGGGCAGAGAGAGAGGGAGACACAGAATCTGAAGCAGGCTCCAGGCTCTGAACTGTCAGCACAGAGCCTGATGTGGGAGCTCGAACCCACAAACCATGAGATCATGACCTGAGCCCAAGTTGGTTGCTTAACCACCTGAGCCACCCAGGCGCCCCAAGAATTTTTAGAAATTAAAAGTATAATTTAAAAAATTGGGGGGGGAGGGGCGCCAGGATGGTTCAGTCAGTTGGTCATCCAACTTCAGCTCAGGTCATGATCTATCTGTTCATGAGTTCAAGCCCCGCATCGGGCTCTGTGCTGACAGCTCAGAGTCTGGAGCCTGTTTCAGATTCCGTGTCTCCCTCTCTCTGCTCCTCCCCCACTTGTACTCTGTCTCTCTCTCCCTCAAAACATAAACACTTAAAATTTTTTTAATTAAAAAAAACCAGACACATTTTTCTTTTAATTTTTATTTATTTTTGAAAGAGAGAGAGAGAAAAAAAAAGAATGAGCAGGGGAGGGGCAGAGAAAGAAGGAGTCAGAATCTGAAGCAGGCTCCAGGCTCTGAACTGTCAGCACAGAGCTGGATGCAGGGCTCGAACTCATGAACCGTGAGATCATGACCTGAGCTGAAGTCGGACGCCCAACCGACTGAGCCACCTAGGCGCCCCAAAAGTCTAATATTTAAAATTAAAAACTCAGTGGTGGAGCAAAAGATATGAACAGACACCTCACCAAAGAAAATACACAAGGTGAATAAGCACATCCAAAGATGCTCAACACGCCTAGTTATCAGCGAAATGCAAATTAAAACCACGATGAGCTACAGTTTTGCCTATGCTAGAATGGCTAAAATAAAAAAGATTGACAATACCAAGTGTTTATAAAGATGTGGAGCAACCAGAATGCTCATTCACTGTAGACTGGAGGATAAAAAACACTAAAAATATATTCGTGTATATAAATTATACTTCAATAATTTATGCATAGGTTATATATTTACTACATTATGTAGTTACCAAAACAGAAAAGTAAGTTTAATACATACAGTTAAAAAACATGCAAAATGGTGCTATATATTGCTTCCGGATGCATGCATATGTAGTAAAAGTATTTTTACTTTTTTTGTGTGAGTCATAAACCTCAAGTAAAGGGTTCTGGCAACTTCAGTGATGAAAAGGAAATTAAATCAGGTAAGGGGATTCAGGGAGTTTCCATTTGTTGGTAGTATTTTATTTATTAAGCTGGGCATACACATGTTCATTGTATTATTCTTTTTATATTAGTTAAAATATCTTTATCATTGTAAAAAATAAAAGTGAACATAGAAAGTTATGATTTGAACATCAAAGTCCTATACATCTTTCCACATATTTTGTTTCATTTTATATTAAAAAAATTTTTTTTACATTTATTTTTGAGAGACAGAGTGAGACAGAGCATGAGTGGGACAAGGGCAGAGAGAGGGAGACACAGAATCTCAAACAGGCTCCAGGCTCCGAGCCGTCAGCACAGAGCCTGATGCAGGGCCTGAACCCACAGACTGCAAGATCATGACCTGAGCCAAAGTCTGACGCTTAACCGACTGAGCCACCCAGGCGCCCCTCATTATATTTTTCATTATACCTATTTGCATGTCTTAAATATTTCATAATTAACTTAAAAGAAGAAAAAAGTCATCTTGTGCAACCTTTCATTTGATTCCTCGTGGTGCGAGATACCTCCTCGGTAACTTCTTGCTTACGCATAACCTGAGATTTGGTCCAGCAAGGGTAACCTCGGGTTATGACAGTGACACTTCTCTCAGCCCCACCCACATTGTCCCCCTAGGCTACCAACCTGGCTCCTGCGGACCCCAATGGCAAGGCAGACCCTTACGTGGTGGTGAGTGCTGGCCGGGAGCGGCAGGACACCAAGGAGCGCTACATCCCCAAGCAGCTGAACCCCATCTTTGGAGAGTGAGGCTGGGCCCTGGGCTTGGGAATGGGAGCACCTTTACCATCTGACCCTGTGGCCCAAGGCATCCCATTCAGGCAGCTGGCATGGTGATGGTGAGGGAATGGACAGAGGCTGCTGAGCCCCCTGGAACCCCTGTCCCCCAACCAGACCATCTCCTAGGGCATAGAGGTGTCCTCAGCCATTCTCTCCCCTGGCCAGGGTGCTGGAGCTCAGCATCTCTCTTCCTGCCGAGCCAGAGCTGACTGTGGCCGTGTTTGATCACGACCTTGTGGGTTCTGACGACCTCATCGGGGAGACCCACATTGATCTGGAAAACCGATTCTATAGCCATCACAGGGCGAACTGTGGGCTGGCCTCCCAATATGACACGTGAGTCCCACAGACCCTCAGGAGCCATTCTGAGTCTGACCAAAGACATTTAAGGTCACATTCTTGTTGATGTCCCCAGATCCTTTGATTTCATAGAAGGGGACCTCCCTATGACCAGGAACTTATAGCATAGTGGTCAATACCTGGGCTTGGGATTTGGTATCCTATAATAAGTCATTTGATCTCTCTGAGCCTCAGTTTTCTCATCTGCAAAATGGAGATAATATCAGTTATCTCCTCCATTGGAGCATGGGCAATACATCTTTGATTTTCTTGGTTACCATAAGCAAGGACTAATCTGTCTTGTACTGGAGTTATGAACCTGGATCCTATGTCTTCAAGGGTCCCCATCCCTGCCCCTGTGCCCACCTGTGTCCATATGCTGACTCCAACTGAAGCATTTTCCCTTTCTGCCCGCAGGGATGGGTACAATGCCTGGCGTGATGCGCTCCAGCCTTCCCAGATCCTGGCGGGGCTGTGCCAACGCTGTGGCCTCCCTGGCCCTGAATACCGAGCCGGGGCTGTCAAGGTGGGCAGCAAAGTCTTTCTGACATCGCCTGAGACCCTGCCCCCAGGTACCAGCCCCTCTCTGACGGACACTCCATAGGGAGCAAGATTGTTAAGGTACAGGGGTCCCTTGGTGCCCACTCTAGTGTGTCCCCCAAAAGAACTTGCCTCCTTCTGCAAGCAGAGGTGGTGAGTTTGGCTAAGGATGAGATTCTTGGATGGTGGGGAGAAAATGGTCTTTGTTGGTGAGCGTGATCCCCAAAGAGTCAAAGTGGACCCCTCAGAGCCATAGCTAATCAAGTTTCCAGAACATAGGGTGGCCCACATAGGGGTCCCACATGACAAAATGTAGCTGCAGAATTGAGCTCACACCTCATAAGTGGCTGGTGGTCTTTCTCTAAACAGAGTCTGTGCAAAGTCACAGCCCCCCCAATCCCACTGTCCTTCCACTGCTGGATTTTTACAGGCAAAAGTTGTTAGAGAAGCATCTCCCCACTTTCTGTGCCTTGTGGACTTGACCTCCTGGACCATGGGCTTTGTCCAACAAAGCAGCTGCCTCAGCTTTGCACTTCTGTTGAGGGGTGGGAGTGGAAAGTGGGAGATTCGGGACCTGTGAGGGACCCAAGCTCATACACCTCTCCTCGCAGGTAGGGGGGGCCCCAAAGTGGCAAGCGAGGTCCCCGAGGAGATACAGGCATTGCTGGTGCTGCGGCGCTGGCAAGAGATGCCGGAGCTTGGGATCCAGCTGGTGCCCGAGCACGTAGAAACTCGGCCCCTCTACCATCCCCGCAGCCCAGGGCTGCTGCAGGTGAGGGAGGGCTCAGCACCCAACCCCAGAACCCCCGGGGTTCCCAGAATCCCAGGACTCCCACCTGCTCCTGGACCCTGGGCCCTCAGGATGCACCTTCCCCAACACCTTTAACTGGGCACTGCACTCCCACTTCTGATTCTGGCTCCTGATCCTGATTCCCAGCATCCCCACTCCAGTCTTAGACCCCCATCCTGGACTCCATACCTCCACCTTGACTTTGGTCCTGCAGGATCCCCACCCCTGGCCACCAAGGGGTCAGACCTGGCACTCTGGATCTGACCTCAACCCCAGGTCCCTAGGCTCTGGACTTTGGGAACACCAGATCTTACTTTTGATCCCAACCTTCCACTCCCAGGGCCTTATCCTTAACCTAACCTTAGACCTGGAACCCCCACTTCAGACCCCACCTTCGACCTCATCCTCCAGGATCTGCCTGACTGTGCCCTCTTGACTCCAGCTCCTCTCCACCTGGGGCAAGGCACAGCCTCTGGCCACAAGGCTATCACGGGAGGTGGGGACCTCAGCAAACCCCTTCAGCCTGGTCCTGTGTTCCCAGGGATCCCTTCACATGTGGATTGACATCTTCCCCCGCGATGTGCCTGCCCCACCCCCAGTTGACATCAAGCCTCGGCAGCCCATCAGGTGAGTTCTGGCCCTGCCTCCCCTGGGGCAGGCACATTTGGACTGCCAGTACCAGGGCTCTCTGAAAACCTGGGCCTCCAGTGAAGCAGCCAGAGGCTGCTGAGCCAGCCTTTTCAACTAGGTGAGCTATTAAGTTCCCTTTCTTTTCTTAAGCCGTTGTGAGTTGGGTGTCTGCCCCCTTCCAACTGGAGCTGGTCTGAGTGGAGTTCTGCATAGGCTCTATGTACTTCAGATATTGTCAGCAATCTACACTTTCCACCTCTGGGCTCTGCTTCCCTTGGGTTCACTCTCAGGGAGGCTTCTGCAGTCTGGGGGCAAGATGGCTGCTAATGGTACAAGGCTTATATCTCATCAACTGGACTACTTGAGCAGAAAAACAAACACCTGTTTGCCAGTAAAAGCAGAAGTCTCAGGGCTGACTCTCATTGGATCAGCATGCGTCAAATCCTGGTCTCTTAACCAACCCTTGTGGGTAGGGGGCTGTAATCCGCTCATTGGCTAACCCTGGGTGATGTTCTAGGTGATGTACCCACCTCTGGAGCCAGGTAGAGGTGAGTCTTCCCCACCAGAATCACACAGATTGACAGCATAGGGGTGAGGGTAGTGGGTGCTCACCAACACAAAATCATGGTGCCGTCAGCAAACGAGAGGAAATTGATGCTGGGTAAGAGAAAACAACAGATACCCAGAAAAATCCATGGCTATCTGGGGTAGAATCAGGAAAGCTGCCGCCCCTCCTTCTGCCACTCAGGGGCTGCATGCTCTCATCCCCACTCTGTAGCTCTCCCTCTCACTTGTCACTGCAAACTGGCTTTCTCTCCCCTGTTCCCTAAAACTTCAGCTTGCACATCACCCTGGCTCGTGGTGGCTCCAACTCCAAATGTGGTGGCATTTGACGTTACTCAACCTTTCAGCCTCCTGATTCAAAATTTATGGGGGAAACTTGGCCCAGCTTTGGTCAATAGACCATTCCTGGTGCCATCTGCTGTGGTGGGGGTGGTCAGTGATAGCTGGGACTGCCCATGTAAGTACCACAGACATCCTGATCACCCAGCTGGGCACATGGAGGTGCTCAATGAATGTCATGGCCATGGCCTAGGTGCTTCCTGCAGCCCCTCTCAAGACCCCAAGAGTCTGAAAACTCTCTTTTGATACCTCCCCCAGCTATGAGCTCAGAGTCATCATCTGGAACACAGAGGATGTGGTTCTGGATGATGTGAACCCACTCACTGGAGAGATGTCAAGTGACATCTATGTGAAAAGGTAAGCCTGTAGGCTAGGCCGGGCAAATGGCTGAGAACCAAGGTGAGACTGCAGTCAGGGGCATGGGCTTCAGGCTGAGCCACAGCCCTGTCTTCTGGGCCCTCTCTGGCACCTGAAGTTGGTGGAGGCCCCCCCCCCCAGTGGTCAGGGGTTGGGGGGGGGTTGGCGAGCTGGGTTCTGGGTTTGGTCCCAGTGCTGAAGCCTACTCTTCCGCCTGTACCTCTCTCCTGGCTCCAGCTGGGTGAAGGGACTGGAGCATGACAAGCAGGAGACAGATGTTCACTTCAACTCTCTGACTGGGGAGGGGAATTTTAACTGGCGCTTCGTGTTCCGCTTCGACTACCTGCCCACGGAACGGGAGGTGAGCGTCCGGCGCCGGCCTGGACCCTTCGCCCTGGAGGAGGCCGAGTTCCGGCAGCCAGCCGTGCTGGTCCTGCAGGTCTGGGACTATGACCGCATCTCTGCCAACGACTTCCTTGGTAGGGCTTTGCCTCCCTCCTACCTCAAACCCTGGCCCTACTTTCTGTCCTCATTGCCAGTGCCCCTGGCCCTTGGTTCCCTATTGTAACCCAACCCTGAGTCCTGGGTTTCAGACCCTAGGTCACTAACCTTTCTGGCCTCATTACTGACCTCCATTCCCACCCAAAGTCCCTGACTCAATCTTCTGACATGACCTGAACTCAGGTCACTTTGGACTCTGAAACCATGGCCCCACTTTGGCAGTCTGGTCCCATCCTTGGTCGTTTCACCAGGGTCTGACAACCTGCTGACGTGTGGCTGCGCTTGTGTGGCCCCCAGCTGTGGCGCACCGCGTCTTAGTTCCTGATGCCCTGAGGCACAGTCCTGCTGTGGCTCCCCACCACCCCAGGCCCAGATAGACCTTGATCTCCTACCTAACCCAGAGAGCTCTGCACTCGCAGGATCCTTGGAGCTGCAGCTGCCAGACATGGTGCGGGGGGCCCGGGGCCCCGAGCTCTGCTCCGTGCGCCTGGCCCGTGATGGGGCAGGGCCGAGGTGCAACCTGTTTCGCTGCCGCCGCCTGCGGGGCTGGTGGCCCGTAGTGAAGCTGCGGGAGCCAGAGGATGAGGATCGGGAGCAAAGGGAGGTGCGAGCTGGCAAGAGGCAGAAGAAGAAGAGGAAGGGCCGGCCGGAAGACCTAGCGTTCACAGACCCTGGAGGCAGCGTCCACATCCTCACGGTGGGTGTGGCCGGGGCAGGGCCCCGGGTGGGTGGGGGTATGAGGTGGGGTCTGAGCCCACCTAAGAGCTCAGCCTCTGTTCCCTCCTTTCTCTAGGGGAAGGTGGAGGCAGAGTTTGAGCTGCTGACCGTGGAGGAGGCAGAGAAGCGGCCAGTGGGGAAGGGGCGGAAGGAGCCTGAGCCCTTGGAGAAGCCCAAGTGAGGGGCGACACAGGAGGCTGGGCCAGAGCCCGAGGTAGGTGGGGGCAGCCCAGGAGCTCCCTCGTCATTCTGACACCACCTCTGTCCCCACAGCCGCCCTAAAACCTCCTTCAACTGGTTTGTGAACCCGCTGAAGACCTTTGTCTTCTTCATCTGGCGCCGGTACTGGCACATCCTGGTGCTGCTGCTGCTGCTGGCATTGGTCACCATCTTCCTTCTCCTGGTCTTCTACACCATGCCCGGCCAGATCAGCCAGGTCATCTTCCGCCCCCTCCACCAGCCCCCCGACCCTAATTGACCCCGCACACTCTTCCCCTACCAACCGTATAACCTCTGGGGGTCCTTCTCACCAACACGACTGAGTTCACTGCTTTCTTCGAATGAACTTGACTGTGCCTCCACTCTGACACCTGAACATAGGCTGTGCATGATAATACAAGGGGCAGAAAACAGAGCTGCCCTTGGGTAACAGGTGCTGGGGATGGGTGGCTGCCACTAGGAAGAATGGGACCTGGCAGGAAGCTCAGGGCTCAGGCCGAGGACCTTGGCCACCAAGCTGTCATGCCGAGTAGTCCACCTGTTGCTCCTGCTCCTGATAATGGCAGGGTCACTTAGTGACAGCTAAGTACTTTACATACTTCATTAGCTTGTTTATTCTTTAACCCCGAGAGTAGGCATATCAGCCAGAACATTTTTGGTTGCAAGTAACAGAAATCCCAACCCTATTGGATTAAACAAAAAGGGCTTGGCGGGGGGCGGGGGTGGGGTGTGTGTGTGTCTTGCATAGCTGCAATTCCCAGTGTTTAGCTGGCAGCTTGTCACAGGGCTCAAATGATGTCACTGGGACCGGTTCTCTGCCTCTGGACTCAGTTCTGCTGTCCTCTGGGGCCAGCTCATTTGCACATAGGGTTCCCCCTGGGAGCTGCAGGATGGCAGCACCAGCCTTGTATCTCCCCATGTTCATACCTAGAAGAAAGCTTTCCTAGTCCTGGGAGGTCAAACCTTCTCCCAAACACATATGCTGAGAAAGTAGGGAGGTTCCTAGAGGAAATTCAGGATACTAATAACAAGCAGGAATGGTTTCTGGCTGACCTTTAAAAAAAAAAAGGCTCACTACAGCCAGCAGTATCATCTGCAACTTATAAATGAGACATGTCCAAGGTCACACAGCTCGTGGGTGATCACATCAGAGCTGGGTCTCAGGTCTGCCTCTAGAGATTTTGCTATCATCACCCTAGTTGGCTTCCTGTCCTTTCTACTTGAACCCCTACTACTGTCTTACCCGGACACTCCCTGAGAAACAATCGGATGAACTGACCAGCTGTCAATGTCCCTGCTTCCCTGGGCTGCAGCATGGTGTGGTGTTGGGCCTGGTCCTCCACACTTATTAAGGGCTATACTGGGAAGCCCTGATGAGGTCCAGAGCTGGGGGTCTGAAGCCAGCCTTGCTCCAGAATGGCCACTGCTACCTTCCCTCCATTTTTCAGTTCTGCCTCCTCCTAGAAGACTGTACAGGACGTGCCTGGACTCCTCTTAGTGCTAGGAGTCAGCAGGGGCTTGGCATAGACCATGGTCAGTGAGGATGAGGGATCAGGTGATTGAACCCAGGGTGGCAGGGAGAAGCCCTAGCTTTAGCCATCACTGAAGAGGTGGCAAGCCCCAGCCTGCACCCACGGCCCTAGCACCACGGGGGTCAGACACTCATGAGCCTGTGGGCCATGGTGGCCCCAGGAAGCTCATACTGGAAAGGTCCATCTCAACCCTGGAGCTGAACCCAAAAGGCCCAAAGACCACAGCAGAGGAGGGACTGAGGATGGGGCACTGGGTGGATTTCAGTTTTGTTTGAATAAAGCCCAATTAGCCAGGGGATGTCCACATGGGGCTCCCAGAGGGCATCTGGTCCGATCTGTCAGTTCTGATTGCCTTCAGTTCATGGCTGTGCAAAGGGTTTGTTTCCAGGCCCTGGCCACACAAGAAGCACATGAAGACCAGCAAGTACTATCACAATCAATAGATTTATCAACCTGTGCTGAGACCGACGCTCTGAGGGGGTCGGAGGGGTGGGGAGAAGGCTGGGAAATGACCACAAGGCCAAAGAGAAAGGGAACAACGGAGGGGAAGGAGACAGCTACGTTGTTTTCCCGAGATCAATTTTCTTCTGGATGGCTCGAGCCGAGTGGTAGATGAGTGAATCGATGAGTCCAGCCACTGGGGACAGAGACAAGGGCTGACACGGGCCTAGTTGGGCCCTTGGCTGAACCCCAGAGCCTTGTCACCTGACTGGCTAGGCCAGCAAGTCCCCTTCACCATGGAGGTGCTCCTCCTCCCCCAACCCAAAATCCACAGGGAGCCCAGGCTTTACATTCCCTGCCATGCCCCAACCCCAAACACACCCTCGAGCTTCTAACCTGTGAACATGCCCCCAATGATAGCGCACACACCAGTCAGGAAGTGGGTGAAGGACCTGGTAGAGGGACAGGGCAGGGGATCAGCAGGTACCCCTGCTCGCTGCAGGCCCAGGCCCCTCCCTTTCCCCACCCTCACCTGTGCTTCTCCGTCAGCTTCACCATCATGGGCGAGAGCTCATAGAGCACAAAGACTCCGGGAAGTCCCTGGTCACCCATCAGCCCATTGGCAACCTTCTCGTGTCTGGTCACAGAGAACTGATTTGTCCTCAGCACCTGGGACAGGAAGGGAGTCTGGGCCAGGGCCGACTCTAACCTGGCTTGCAATCCCCCTCAGCCCTACCCCTGCTCCCACCCCTTGTCCATAGTGCCTTGACTGTGCAGAGGAGAAAACAAGGCCCCAGCTCGCTTATGAACACTGCAAGGCCCGGGGACCACCTAGGCACCCTCCCTTGGCCTCACCACCCCAGCTGCCCCTCAGTCACTAGCTCTTTACAGTTCACCATTCCCAACTACATCTGGTGGATTCTCTCAGTGGGGGTTTAGGGATGGGAAGGAACTCTCCAAGGCTGCATCATGAGCTCCTGGCAAGGCCGGGCCGGACTTCCTATCTGCCGAGATGTTGCTCCACTGGTGACAGCAGAAAGGGGAGGAGGGGGCCCAGGAAGGGTTAGCCCCCAACCCAGGGGAGACCCTGGGGACAGTGGGCACCCATGGAATGGATGGAGGCAGTTTGGACAAGTAGAAAGTGCAAGTGCTTTGAAGTCCGACAGTGTGGGCCCTGCACTCTCGCTGTGAGAGTAAATCACCTACCCTCTCTGAGCCTCTGCTTGTCACCAAGAGGGACCCTGACACCTGAGCTCCTGCCGACTTACCTCCCCGTCTACCTTCATGTACACTGTAGGTACCACCTTCACAAAGTACTGGAACATCATGGAGGCTGCAGGGAGAAGAGAGCACTGGGCATGGGTGCTGGGTAGGGCTCTCCTAACTGGGGGCTACCTCCCAGGCTGGTACCTTGGGGTGCGGTGACATTGGTGCGGTCTAGGGGGTTCACAATGCCTGGGTAGTCTTCCCCGAATGACAGGTGCCGGATGTAGTGGGTCATGTTGATCTGCAAGCAATACCAGCACCTGAGCCTCGAGCGCTCAAGGCCCCAACAGGCCTCACCCCATCAAAGGTTCCGCGGTACAGTGGCAGACAGGGATACCTGGGCTTGGGGAATGGATGTGTGGCGAGGCAGGAGGGAGGGCAGGGTCCTGCCTGGGAGAATCTGATCAAGACAGGCAGAACCCCCATGCCCCACCAGGGAACAGAGTCTATGGCCTCTGGACCTCCACAGTCTGAGGTTCTGGCTGCATCCAAACATACGGCAAATAAAGACCCGGCATGGACCTGTTGTGGCAGGTGCCAGATGTGCCTGCAAGTCTTGAGCCAGGGAAGCCTAGGCTGGAGGGGCCCCAGATTTCCTAGCTCCGACTCCTGTCCTGATTCGGTCTTTATCAACCTCAGCTATTAGAGGGATCTTTAAAAACGTGCAAACTTGATTACATCATGACACTGGTTAAAGGGCCAACAGCCTCCAGGAGGCTCTCAGGAGGAAGACCAGACTGCAGCTCTGCCTGAGTCCTATGTGGTCTGGTCCCCACCAACCTCTCCAGCCACACCAGCCCCTACAGTTGCTGAGAAGTGCCCCGCTCCCTCCTGACTTTGCTGGAGGCTCCCTCTGCCCAGGATGCTCCTGTCCAACCCCATCCCCTATCTCCAGCCTGCGCAGATCTCAGTTCTTGACCCTCAGACTGATTCCCTGGCCGAATATGGTGTATTTGTATCTGCTCCCCCATCCCAGGACATCCCTGTGGAGAAATGAAGGCAGCATCCATCTCCCACCCTCATCCGCCCTGCATGGTCTCTGGTACTTACATTGTCCAGGCCAAAGCTCTGCAAGTCATGGACTAGGAGAGAAGGGAGAAGGTGTCACCAGGTGGAGTAGGACTGGCCTCCTGGCTCCCTCAGCATCCTTGCTCAGGCCTCCTCACCCCTCCTTCTGGAGTGCGACTGCCCGGCTCCTCTTTGACCCTTCATTCCCCTCAGCCTGGCTCTGCTGGAGCCTGTGTGCAAGTACACACCCTCCTGGGCCTAAGAACAGACCCCATTTCTTCCCTGACATATACAGGGAGCCCTTTACAGGCATCACACCAGGTTTTCATTCCCACCAAGTCCCTGCTTGCACCTCAGGAAACAAACCCCACTGACTCTATCTCCCACTAAATAGAGCTGATGGACAACTCCTGAACCCCAAGGTGAGGCGAGACCAGAGAATGCCATCCAAGCACTTTCCCTGCCCCCCTGCCCCTACCCCCCTACAGCCCCCAAAGGAAATGCCATGGGTAGTCTATACCATCTATTCCAGAACAAGTACTTTCTGCCCTCTGGCCCTGATCCCTCCTGCTTCAAGAAACCCTACCTGAAAAATAAGACCCCTATTCCAGGCCCATCGAAACCTCCCCCCTTCCTGGGAGGGTAGGCTGCCCCAGAAGTGGGGGCTTGGCCTCCCTGGGGGGCAGGGCCACTTACTCTCCACAGCATGTACTGCAGCATGGGGGAGGGAAGGAGAGAGAAGGGAGGAAGAGAAAAAAGATTGAGAGCTTCACAATGAGAACCATGGAGCAAAATAACGTGGTAGAAAGGAAGACTGGAATATTCCTGCCTTGGCAGTAGGGTCTGGACCTAGCTAACAAGTCTCCTCCTGCACTAGTCTCCAGGGTAACTCCTCCCCAGCCAGGGAAAAATACGAGGGGTCTTGGGGCAGAAGTATGGTGGCCTAGGAAGAACAAAAGACCTAGAGCCCAATAAGCCACTTTCCTAGCTGTGTGACCTTGGGCAAGTCACTTGCCCTCTCTGGACCTCAGTGATCTTTACAAAGGGCTGTCCTGAGGACCAGGTAGGATCTAAGATGGAAAAGCACTAAGTGAACTTTATAATCTTCCCCCCTCCCCCACCGAAAGCA